CAGTGGTACGGGGATCCTTCACAATCACGTTAGGTCTTATATAGGTACAGGATTTCAATGTGTAAGTACAGCTTTTGACAGTGGTACGGGGATCCTTCACAATCACGTTAGGTCTTATATAGGTACAGATGATGTTCAATGTTTAATATTTGTGAGTCAATGCTTTAAAACATCAACGTTTGACGATATATCTGATTGTAACCTTAATGGTCACCGGAGTTGAAATACAATTGTTATTCGTGGTTGGTATGTGACAAAATCAAATAGTATCAATATATCCAAATATATTTTTTTTTATGATGGTTTCCTTGACAAAATGATCTTGGGGAGTGACTAACATATATCATATGTATAGCTGGCAGTTTTCAGGAAAAAACACATGAAAAGATAAAACCATGTAATATAGTCAAATTTACCCCCTCCCCAGGGAGAAATGGGTGACTTAGGGTAGTGAAATTCATCATTTTGATAAGGCACCTCAAGACCTTCCATCCATGATGAATATTTGATTCATGTATACCTGGTTCTGAAGAAGAAGAGTGTTGAATAGTTTGGCAATTCAACCCCTTTTGGGCGCCATATCCCTCAGGCCCTCGAAGGGGCGAGTCAGGATCTTAATTTTGATAGCATCAAACTGCATCCACATGTTGACATGATGATAGTTCTAACCAAATTTTAATTCTTGCCAACTGAAAATATAAAAATTACACCAAAAGTGTTATTTCTCTTTATAAACTGTAGTATAATTGACCCCCTCTCCAAGGGTATAGAAATTAATAATTTTGATAAACACCATAAGACCCTTTTATCCCTAAAGAGTATTTGATCTCAGCATATCCGGTTTTGAAGAGGAAGATTGTATAAATTTTGGCCAATTTAGCCCAATCCCTGCAGGTATAGATGGATATACATGGAACTCATGATTTTGTTTTGCCTTTGACCCTGGAACCGTCTTGTAACATTTTATTAAAGTAAACTGTTTTCTGTAATTGTTTTTACTGAATGTCCCCGTGGCCAAAGGCTTCTCCAGAACAAATTGTGATAAAATCCCTTCACCCGTTTGGTAGTTTGGACACACGTTTGACACTTGGGGAGAAATTATTACAAACAAATATTAGAAATTTTCATCCATGTAAAATTTATGTGAATATATATGGTATGTGAACATCTTTTGGTTTCCAATGAAATAATGTAAACGTTACATTTGTTATTAGTGTATAAAATGTAATGTATGCACGCCTGTTACATTGTAATACAATGTAGTAATATTTTGTAATAATGTATAATATCTAAGGTACACATGTATGCTACATTATAGTAACAATATGTTGTAAGAAAGTTGTAATGTATTGTTTGAAAACACAAATTATAATCTTCACTTCACTGAAAATCATTTAAGATTTTTTGTAAATATGCTTTATACCCAAGTGTATTACACTGTCACAGTATATTTACCACATTTATAAGTGTATTACTCTGTCACAGTAAATACACTACATTTATAAGTGTATTACACTGTCACAGTAAATTCACTACATTTATTAGTGTATTTCACTGTCATAGTAAATAATTGTATTACACTGTCACAGTAAATATACTACGTTTATAAGTGTATTACACTGTAACAGTAAATAGACCACATTTATAAGTGTATTATACTGTCACAGTAAATATACTACATTTATAAGTGTATTCCACTGTCACAGTAAATATACTACATTTATAAGTGTATTCCACTGTCACAGTAAATATACTACGTTTATAAGTGTATTACACTGTCACAGTATATATACTACATTTATAAGTGTATTACACTGTCACAGTAAATATACTACATTTACATTGTACTCAATGTATTGACAGATTGTATGTAAACAGACTTAAAGTCCCTTTACCTGTATTGTCAGTGATTAACAGTTGATTGTATTGCCTTGCGTACTGCCCTATAATAAAGTTTGATGCGCGAGTAATAAAAAGTTACTTATATCTTAACTATATCCTCTTTTTATATTTCTGTTATAAGAGCGTAGTTCTTTAATGGTAACACATGCGTGTCTAAACAGAGTTGCTTCCCCTTTACACATTGCCCTTAATTGTTTTCGTCCGGGAGAAGCCGTTCAGTTGGGTAACCGGGAGTACATCATTAACGGTTCCGGAGTGATTCGCCCAAAATCCAATTCGCCCTAGGTTGTTTCGCGCTAGGTTGTTTCGCCCTAAAACAAAAATATTAGGGTGAAACATTGTTTGGTATTTTCTTTCAACTTAACCCTAGTTAGTACTACTTAAGTGATTAATCAAACTTAACCGTTGTTCACATCGCTGTATGACGTAGTCAATATGTGCGCTCCAGGTAAGCGCGCTGTCATAAAACATGTCCAGAAATTTTGCAATGTTATTGATGGGTAGTAAATTGAAAGTGCCCATTTTAATTATCACATCAGAGATTGTTGATTTAGCACTGCTAGTATTTCTTTTCTGAATAAAACCACAATAGTTTTTGTTTCAGATATTTTGAACCCCCATGTGTCACATCATTTAAGCACTCTGGTTATGTCTGTAGATAAAGTTGAACTTTACATCGAAGGCTTTCTCAAAATCTATAGACTGCAAGTGAACGTTCTTTATTTATATTTGCCTTCTGTATTTCATTTTCGGGTTTGATCAACTGATCGGTGGTATCTCTATTGGACCTAAAGCCGCACTTATTAATTGTTAGTAAATTGTTAGTTTCTAAATACCATTTAAGTCTGTTATTAACCATTTTCTCCATGATTTTACATATCGTTGATGTTAGAGATATGGGACTGTTGGAAAGTGCTAAATTGGGGGGTTTCCCTTGTTTAAAAATCGGGACTATTATGTAGTGTTTCCAACAACTTGGAATGGTGTGTTTATCCCACACTAAATTTATAAATTCTAGAACAACTTTTTGCGCTGTTTCACTATTTTTTTGTACATATTATATGTTATGGCATCATCCCCGGGCCTAGTTTCTTTTGTTTGCGCAAGCGCGTCTGTAAATTCCTGAAATGTAAATGGGTTGTTTATATGGTGGTCACTGGGCTCTATATTATTAATATATTCAGAGTACGTTTTTGTCAAATTCATTTTATGTTCAATAAATTCAGGTTTATAGTTACTAGTGTCGGTTATTGAAGAGAAGGATGCTGCAAATAAATTGGATTTGTGTTTGTTCATTATAGCAG